AATCAAGGTAATATCTGATAATTAAATACTTAATTCCACAGCTTCTCTAAAAATTTTGAAAGAAATTGACAAAATTCTAACAGAAATTCAACATTACCATCTTAGTAATCAATTCTTGTATTGCTGATATGTTTGTTTTAATACTCCTGGGTGTCAAAAACCAAGGCACATGCAGACGCTAACCATAGAAAAAAAAAACTGGATCGGCCTAATATACCTTCAGCATCTGCTTTATTTTCCGTCGTTGTTCAGTTCAAATCAAAGTTCGCATCTGCATTTTCCTTTCCATTCCAGAAAACATAATTCACAAGATTATCTGTATCATAATCTGATGCATTGCTTTAAGCTTTGTGTATGTTTTAGGGAAGAAAAAAATGTCCCCACTATGAAACTCATCAAATAACTTCAAATAACTACTATAGTTAACTGATTCCTTAAATACCAAGTACTTTTCATTTAAGCTGCATACTTGAAAGAATTGCTTCAGCGGTCAAAACCCCCTTTTTTGTTATAATATCGGACTGTCTCAAGTTAATCAAAAAGCAATGTTTTGAGTACGATATATGCCTCATACAATTCTGTATGAAAAAATATCAGACAGTTCTTGGCCTTAACTGGCCTCAAACTGTCTGATATTTTTTTTTATACATAGTGGATATTCAATGTTTTGTAGATGAGTATGGAATTTATTTCACGAGTGGGACAGGATTTTTTTTTTTATATTTTCACATATCAAAAAAATCCTGCCTCACTCATGATATAAATTCCCTATTCATCTACAAAACATTGAATTTTCTGTTTATTACATTTTCTTTGATTTCCCCTTAGACTGCCTTTTCGTAACAGGGTGTCATAGGCTGTGACGTCATAGTTGAGCGGTTGAACATGGATTTTTAACAACATATTTGGGGAAACTTTGGCAGTTTTAGTCTCTGTCAGGATGGTTCATTTATCTTATAACAGGCCAGGAAGATTTTTTTTAAACACTATTAGTAAAGGGATGGAAAATCGAGAGTTTTGCCGCACTTCTGATATTCTCACACTGTGAGAATACCATTTTGATATCCTTTCACACTGTCAGAATATAAGTTTTATTCAATAAATAAATTACAGTATTTCACTGGTGAAAATGTAATAAAAACCGTATTCGGCATATATCCTTTAAGTAGCATTTCAAATTGGAATGTAAGTAATGCGTTTCATAATTATAAACTCATTTATTCACTTCGCACTTGTAAATAGAGGCCATACGAGATTCATATTCAAAATATAAGCAGAACAATTATCAGGGGGAAAAACGTGTATTCAAATTCCACTTTAATTTAGTGTCAAGGATTGATATTATCCTGAAAATTCATATAAAAGGATACGTTTATTTCATTTGATCGGCATAATACTTTCCCTTTGTATTGCAAATTACAGGCAAATTTTAAAATTTTCGGCTATATAATTTACGGTAACTTTCTCTGTGAATAATATTAGTTTAACACTAATTCATTGTGGATGACCTGGTTGTGTTAATAACGATATATGTAAATTATTTTTGTATTGGGTATCGTATTTATGATGTATAAGTTTGCTTTAGAACATTGACAAACCTTGGACATTACATGTAGATGTAATCATATCAGAATTCAGATTTATAATAATCTTGGCTCATGAGAAATTTACTTACTTTCTGTTAATCTTCTTGGTTCGCATTGACTTCTCAGAAAAAAAAGGAAAGAAATGTAACGTCACCTTCATTACGTAAAGGACGTCATAATCCGATGTACACAAAAACAACGCTTGGATCGTCGAAATTCTGTTCTGAAATTGATGACAAAGCCAAATCCGCGACCTATCTTAATACTTACGTGTTTGAATCATTGTCTAATAAGCAAATGCTGAAAAAAAAGTGATCAAAGTTTGTTTCATATTTAATCTAGATTCATTCTTCAAAATCCATTCGAATACATTCTGTTATTATTAGGTAGCGAATATTTGTGTTTGAATAGTATAAATACCTACTGTCATAGAATAAAAGCAATTGCATGATTTCTATATTTAGATGTTTCTGTTGGTCCAGTGGAGGTCTGGGTACAAGGAGAAGAGCGGGATGGAGAATGGAGATTCCATGATGACACATCAATTGGGAATGCCTGCCACATCAGGGAATCGAATGGCCCCACAGAAATCCACTTGAGAGCCAATGGCAATTACGACTATGATTGTGTTGATGCACCCCCGACTGAAGGATTTCATTATATATGTGAAATATACCTTAAATTTTCTCAGCTACTGTGAAAATTCTTTTATAATGATAAGGAGCAGAAATTAAAGCAGGTACAGTTAATTTTGGAAGAATATCTTTTAAATATTTTCTTTTTGAGAGTCGAAAATATCACATTTTCGGTTTTGCGTGCATTTCATGCACACACCCTTTAAAACATACTGCTAAATGTACAAATTTAATTTTCAACTTTTTTATGTTCCTTGTAAGGTCAATTTTAATCGTCAGCGTGGCGCAGTGGTTAAAGCGTTTGTTCTAGAGTCGCAGTGTAAGGAGTTGATCCTATAGTGATGACTCTATGTGCGTTAAAAATTCTCGAATGGAACGTTAAACAACACACAATCAATCGATCAATCAATCAATCCTAGATTTTCTGGTACTTATTGATAGACATAATTATTTCAACAACAAATAGTATCAGGCATTTTCTGCAATTTATCAATTTTGTAGGAAAGAGAGTTTCAGTTCATTGATGATTAAAGCAGTTGTTTTAAACTCCTGAGTGCAGTTTAATTAAAACATTTAAACCATATAAACATTAGAGTTTCAAAATATTTGGCAATAAGGAGTTGTAATGTAATTGTACAATATTTATAGTCCAATATGTCATGGTGAAAAAAAAGTTTGAAATTGGCTTTATATGGGGCAATATATGAAAACCATCTATCCCTCTGAGTTCAAATAATCAGATGTGAAAAAAAAAGAATAAAAATAGATTACACGATCAGTATGTGCTGGTGCCAGCTAACAAAGTAGGTAATATTATTGTTCTTGTTTGCAAGGAATTTATATTATACTTCTCGAATATATTGTTGCACAGTACTTCTTAAGTTTTTCCTCTACTGCTGTTAATACATGAATTATAGTAAGGTGTACAGAGAGAGGCTTGGTAGAACATTGACTGGAACCTGCTATGCATTTTCTTTGTAAGGATTTTTTATGAACTTTCGGTAAGCAATATATATATGGTAATTCAAACTCATTTTGGTTGTTGGGAATGATAAAAATATTTAAAACTAACATATGATTTTGAAATAAATAAAAAAAAATTTCTCCTTAGACAGGGAGCTATGGGTGTAAGTTCGGTTACCACTTGTAGAATTAAATATCAGTTCTTTTCAAATACAATTCAAATAATGAGCCTTTGGTAGGATTGTTAGATTTATGGCATGTTCCCAAACTGCAAAGTGCAATTTTCTGCACTTTCTGTGAAAATGCTAATTTAAGAAATAAGTTTGTTTTAGTAGCGAAATAAAGTTACCTCAGGTAGGTATATAAAGCTATGTAGGTAATGTAAACGTTGATTTAAAGAACAACGAAGAAAGTCTGGGTTCAATTATATTGTGTATTCCATCATAATAGGTACATGTCATGTAGTTCTGTAAATAAAATATTTAACAAATAAGTCACAGACAAACACACATACACAAACGTCACACAAAATACTGAATTTTCTGGCTAATGGAACTAACTCCATTTTCCTCATAACTTTAAGGATCATCATAAAATAATTATTTCTAGCATTATATTATGCAACTTCATTATTATAAAATAATTCACTTTTCACTATAAACATTTCCATTCATAGTATCCAAATGAAATTCCATTTACAACACAAATAGACATCACATTATACACAAACTTCACTAAACACAAATCTTACCAAATATATGGTATATGAACCTGATCTTTATATATGGCATTCCTTTCCCAGTCAGTCATAACTATTAATAAATTATCACAAAGTAAGTCTGACTGATTATTGGCAAAATATATTTAAAATAATAAATAACATTTTACATAAATCTCATTCACATAACCTTCACACATCATGCTCATAATTTGTAATGTTAAAATGTTAATGAACTGGCCTGTTTAGTTTATTAAATTGTCCACAAGTCCATTATGCCTGGTATAGAAAAAATGTAAGTATATTTTTTTCAGGAATTCTAGAGTCAGTCAAATACACTGCTCACTACAAAGGATCTTTTCTTATCTAAAAATACTACAATTAGTGAGCTTCTCACAAAAGTAGCCAATCAAAAACTTGGATTCACCCATGCATGAATAGCATTCTTGCCTTAATGGGAAACACTATGGAAAAGCCTTAGTGTAATATATATATATATACAAACGTTCTTACTTAATACTATTTAAAGTATGTAAATACAGTATGGACAAAAATTAAAACAATAAGTCAATGCTGTATTTTTATAAGATAATATCTTTTTTAATAAAATAACGCGGTCACAGTAATTTAAGCTACGTAGCTAAATCTAGCGATTGTACCTGTTGAATGCATATGGACATGCATAGCAAAAAACCCTGGCTGTTTGTTCCATTCTTACGAAAGATTATTGCAAATTGTTTGTACGAGTTTTACAATGTAATATTTCAAGTTTATTATGCATATATTGGTATGCTTTTAAAAAAAACACGCGCAACTGTTTTTTCTTCCAAACTTGCATTTATATTATTCAACAATAATCATTCATAAATATCTCTATGACTGTTTTTATCTGTTATGGTTTTAAAATGTTTTCAACAATTCATTTGTTCCCAAATACTTTACTATCGGAGATGTGAACGCATCGATATCCAAACCAAAAGGTCACTCAAGTGTAACGGGGGCACTGGGGTATATATCGTTACAATAAGACAAAGTATCTGAAAGAAATATGGCGGAGTACGGCTAGTTGGTAGGAAGCAAGTCGTACATTGATGCAAATGTTGCGTTTTTAAGAATTCATGTCAGATTTAACAAAGCTTAAAAATGGAATACGCGAGTCATGTAGGTCACTGAAAAGTCTTATAATTCTAAGAGGTATCTGTATTTTCACCGAAAGACTTTGAAGCAACAAATCCGGAGTTCGTTTATTTTTTTACTCGAAGGAATATTGATTTATATAATCAGTCTATCTCGATTTCTTTATCTGAAGGTGGTGCGTTTGATTATAACAGACTCGAGAAATCTAAGAAGAGGAATATTTGCTTAAATGTATCGAAATTTTTTTGTCAGTGTTTTCCTGATTTTTCTCACTATATTAAAGACGACACAACCATTTGAAATCTTCGATAGCTATGCTGTGGTAGTAAGTGACAGTCCAACATCAACATGTGTGCAACACAACGACATACAAAGCATCCTTCTGTGTTTTGTAAGATGCATCAAAAGCCTCAGTTTTTTCTACATGATCAGCTATAACACCAAAGATCATCGATGTATGTGCTGCGTGAATGGGTCAGGGACTGCTCTAATTAGTCAAGATTGGACTTCCTTTAAGCCTCGTAAATTGTTTTTGTTTTCTCCTCAAAATGTTTTAAAAAAATAAAAACTTTACAAATAATAGGAAAATTAAACAGTTTTACTATATATGAAATATATCCATCAATTGCTATAAAGTCTATGTTCAAATCATGAAATATGTTTCCTTGTTTTTACGATTCCTGAAATGGACAAGAGATTTTCAAGGTGTAAACATAGTAGAAACATAATTAAAAATATGCCTTTCTTTAAAAAAAAAATAAAATCAAGAAATAAAAAAAAAGTTTGTTTATTTTGATATCAAGGGCTGGTACTAAATTAAAAAAAAAGAATAAATGTTTTATAACGTTTTCACCAATGAAATACTGTTTTTTTTTATTTATTGAATATAAAAGCCTTATTTTGTCACAGTGTGAAAGAATATCGAAGTGGTATTTTCTCTCATTGTGCACTTGCCAGAAGTGCTAAAAAACTGGATTTTCTTCCCTTCACAAAGAAAGTTGAAAAAGTTATTCACTGCCCTGTTATAAGACAGAGAGAGTAAAAAACCACCCAGACAGAGACTAAATCTGCATATGTTTACAATATATTCAATCTCACGATCGGTTAAGCTACATGTATGGCGTCTCAACCGCTCAACTAGGACGTCACGGCCTATTGAACTTTGTTACAGCGAGAGGTAGTTAAAGGGGAAATCAAAGAAAATGTAATATACAGAAAATTCAGCATTTTAAATTTGATAATGGAATTTGTTTAATTTGAACTCGTGAATGTATAAAATCATTTCCTACTCGTGAAATAAATTCCATATCCAACTACTAAATATCGAATATCCTCTGTTTTTACACTTAATCTTTCGTGACAGAGAAGATAATCAACATAAGATACAAAAGGAAGTTCAGTGTACACATACACTTGTGCTTGTCAAACAATTTTCATACAAAAAGAAAAGATTAAGGTTAAATAGAAATGTGATAGTCTTTCCTAGGGATCGATATAAAGTTTGAAAAAAAAAAATGGCAACCTTTATTTTATACGAATAATACGAAAAAGGAGACCCCTCAAAATAAATAAATAAAAAAAATAAAATTACACACAAAGAACCATTGAAAAAAAAAGAAAAAGAAAAAAAAACTCTTAAAATTCCACTGCTACCCTATAAAGAACTGAGTTAAAAATATAAATATCAAAATGTCGAGGAGGGGTTAAAAAGCACATCAACATAACGATTTATTTTATATTCAATAATTGAAAACAGTGTCTACTTCCCTTGTTGGATGGAAAAATCATTTCTAGGTTTTATTATAATGTTGTCACAACCGAATAACCATCATCTACTATAGAGGAAATTATAAAAAGAAAATTCAGTAATGAGCAGTCGGGTTCTTTTTCACTCAAGTCGTTCAGGTTATTGATAGATTTAATAAAATGAGGCGCTCTGAATAAGATCAGATAAATCTGAGTCATGTACTGTAAAATTATCTTAAAAAATAATCATTAAAATTTCATTATAAATCAAGAATTATTTATCTTCTCACTCTTTTGAAGTTGTAAACGAATTTTTAGAGATTGCTGGATATTGAAAAAGAATCAAGTTGTAAAAAGATGAAAGAGGAAAATAAAGCATCTCTAAAGACCTTTAGACGTTCATAATAATAAAAAAAAAACAATGTTCTTTCCATGTCTAATGTAATTTTTCGTTTAACCTTCATGGAAAGATATGAACAAAACTGGTTCTTATTAAGCTTTCCACCGCATACACGTCTATAGAGAAATTATTACATTCAAGCCTGGAAATCGTAGATATTTATTAGGTTTTACGAGATAATTACCCCCTATATAACATTTAAGCACGATTAACAATGATTGAATATCCAAGCTTTTTTGAAGTCAAACTTCTTATTTCATCTGTTTTGTTTTCCTTATAGCCCAGTGTCCCGCTGGATACTCAGTATTTCAGTATTTGGATTCTGAGATTTGTGTAAAATACGTAAACAAGGGAACAACGTACCCGGAAGCAGTTATCAGTTGTAAAACAGACGGAGGGGATCTTATAAGAATTGATTCAGAGAAGAAGTACGACATATTTAAAAGATTCTCAGGTAACTTTACACAAAAGCATTAAATTCTGTTTTAAAAAGACAAAGGTTGGTATGTAAGGCATTTTTTTCATTAGGAAATACATGTTTTCTTAACAGAAATCCCTTTATTAAAAGAAATCCTTTTGGGAAAAAATCATACAGGAGATGCTTACTTTCTCCTAGGTGATTCAGTGGCGGATCCAGGAATCTTGAAAAGGGGGGGGGGGCAGCTTGGAGTCGGGGTAGGGGCCCACAGCCACACCAAAATAATTATTTATTAAATCTTATATATATTTTGGACATATAAGGGGGACCCGGGCTCTGTCCCCCCCCCCCTAAATCCGTCAGTGTGATTTTGCCTACTGCACAATAAGTATTCTTTATAAAAAATTTTTAAAGAATGCGTAATTTAGGATGCGGCATACAACTGCTCATACAATTTGTACTTCAACAGATAAACAAAATTAGAATAACATTTATATCAAGAAAATTCTTTTCTCGATGCAGTTGCAAATTTTGTTTGCAAGGAAAATCAAATTACTTCAAATAATCTCAATTATAGCACCATATGCAACTGTGGATCCCATTGAGGTCTGGGTTCAAGGAGAGAAACTGAATGGTGAATGGAGATTTCACGACCTCACACCGATGCCCACTATTTGTCCACTCAGTGAGTCCAACCACACAGTGGAGATTCATCTAAGGGCTATGAGTATTTACAACTTCTCCTGTGTTGATTCTTATCCAGGTGCAAAATATCACTATGTTTGCGAAAAGCATCGTCTTTTCTATTCACGTTTGTAATGTTGCTCCATTCAGAGGAAAAAGGCTGCAATGTAATTATAATATTGAATGAATAAATATTCAAACAGGAGGTGGGGACGTGTTATGCTTTCCAAACACGACAAGTATTCATAGAGTGCAAAATTTGCAGAATAATAATAACGCTATCGATCAAAGATAAGAGCTTAAAGGAGGATCTAAAACTAAGGATTTTTTCGGACTTTGGTCACACATCTATTATCATGACTAGATATAAGCAGATGTATGTCTATGTATAATTACATATACATATCTATATATCTGAAAGATAAGAATTGAAAACAAAGATACAAACATTAAATTCAAGTGTAATTAAAATCATCAAGGATGTTGATAAAAAACCCTAAAGATTAACTTAAAAGCCAAAATAGTAGAGTATCAATAATAGAAAGGAATGGTGTTTTTTGTATTTTACATTTCTAATTGTTTTCTCTGTGATAACTCTATAAAAGCGAGGCGAGTTTATTTCTTAATAATTAAACCTGAATGTAAATTTCGCCAAGTGAAAGGTCAAGAGCCTAACATGCATGTCACTTTCGTGCGGCTGTCTTTGTGTGTGACGTCAGTGGACTGGGACTATCGAAATTAACATGGAAGGCCTCTTGTACTTTAAATCTATTGGTCAGCATTTTTTTTTCAAAATTATAAATACAATTTTATTTCACAAAGAAATGTAAAATATAGGAATCACTGTCTGGTTTGTTGGGTATGTCAGGGTCATCAACGATAGTTGGCAACGTGGGATGATTTATGCATAGTAAACCACAGAACAAGCAGAAATATGATTCTGCATATAGCCACTGCTCAGAATTGCTTCACGACATATAATCACCGTTTGCGTAGAGTTAAGTCTTATGAAAGCAGAAGTTTTTTTTTTGGGAAAAAAACAACTTTTTCAGTTATTAATTACTGTTCTGGTTTCTTGAGTAGTTTATGTCAAAAAAGAGTAAATACAATGACAATAGTTTTGCTTCGTTTGATATTGCAAGAACGAAATGAAGATAGTATGAATTGAAAACTGTCATTTATATAATCTAATAAATGGCAAGATAGATCAAGCAATATACTAATTAAACAAAAGTACAAGGATTACACAATCATAAAAAAACATGTACTTAAAATTAATGCATTTTGTTAAGCCAAACATCATAGCTAAGGATTTAAAAAATCGCCCATACAGTTATAAAATATCCGAAACTGTATTGCAATTATTCACTTTTTTCTTACTAACCAACAAATAAATATTTTAGTTCATACAATTAATTTCTCACATCAGACATGGCACATGGGAACAAAAGCTAAACTAAAAAGCTTTCGGGTGGGACGGTTGGCAAAACGAATCAAAATGACTTGAGAATGTTTACTGACGCGGTAATGCTCGCTGGGAAAATGAGGGCGAGCGCAAAAATAGCAGCCTTTGGTCAGTTGTTGATAAGAAATAATCAAAATTGAACGAAGGAAGAAGTCAGAGTTGTTCTTCTTGCCATGCAGATGTTTTACTTAAACTAAATTAATGCTTTAAATTAAGATTTTATGCAAATACATAGATAATAGTTTTGCTCCATTTGATATTGCAAAAATAATTTGAAGATTGTGTGAATTGAAAACTGTCATTTATTTAATCTAATAAATGACAAAATAAAATCATGCAAAATACTAATTATAGAAAAATTGCAAGTACTACACAGTCATAAAAAAAGTGTGCAAAAAAATTAACAAATACATTTTGATAAGCCAAGTGTCATAGGTGCGGTATAAAAAAAAATCGGCCATACGGTTTTAAAACATCCAAAACTGTATCGTTATTATTTATCTTTTACTTCTTAACCAAAAATAAATATGCATAAAAATAACAGATACATCTTGTTAAGCCAAGTATTATTAGTGGGGCATAAAATCGCCACCTTATTGTATTCATGGTTGAACAATGAACGCAATTAAACCCACCTAAGTCTACTGCCTTCATTAAATTCAATATATGGTAAAATTTCACCTAATGACTTCAAATTAGATTTTTCCTATTTTATTTTTAATGATACACAAATTCTTTTTATTGTAAACGCATTTGTAGAATCGGTGTAGGAATGTGTTTGCCTGCACTGTGTTTGAAACTATTCATCGTAATCTCGAGAGATCACAAGAGTTTAATTTACCCAAGATGAACTTTACATTTGCAAGAATAAATACATTTTTGCTGTCTGTTGAAGACGAAAATGTTATTTCACTTACCATTAAAATGTATGAAAAACCAGCAAATACATTGTTCTTAACATACTACATTAAAACTGACATGATCTCTTATATATGTGATATTTTCATCCTTGTACGACTTATTTCATTACCGTACTCCCTTTTCCGCCATATTTCTTTCAGATTCACTCACTTATTTTACCGGCTATATAAACCTGATGCCTTTGTTACACTTGAGTGATTTTCTATCCTAGCTGTCGACATGTACACATCTCCGATAGCAAAGTTTTGGAACACGCCATGAACTGACCGAAAACATGTAGGCCCGTACAAATCTCCGATAAAGCAGTTTTGGAAAATGCCATAAATAGAACAATCCTACCAAAACTAGGAATTTTATTGAAATCTGGAAAGGAGTATATAAATTTTGGATAATTTAGATGCAATGCATAAGAATCAAAACGGCAAATGCATGTTTGATATACATACATATGTATATTTGAACAGATAAAGAAGAAAAGGTTACCACATTCATTTTTTTTCCAGATAACACTGTATACGTACTGTTGAGCTTTATGCATGCTACACGGTATAAGCACATAGATAATATGCAAGTTATACATGCATGCATGCCGAGAACGCCTTTAACTCATCTACCTGAAATACTGTTATTGCTACAGGAATGTGCACATGTGGAAAGAATTACTTCCTATTTTCCTTTGATTGAAATATGTATTACAGAAAAAATAACTCCATTTGTAACTCAACGGTAAACAGATTGTCACTAGCACTTTTTTTTTCTTTTGGTGAAAAGAAACTAAAATCAATTTTAACTAGAATGAGACACAATGTGAGTCTCCTTATATCAGACCTGTTCAAAGTCAGGCTTTCAGATAACACTCATTGTTCTTGTGGATATACCAATGAAAACACTGAACACTTTTTTTTGTATTGTAAGAATTATGCTGAAATAAGATTAGAATTATTTCACACTATAAGAAATAACAAAGGAACAATAGACCTTGACACAATTCTATTTGGGGACTCAAACTTGGGACAACAAAATAATATAAACATAGTTAAAGCCGTACACAAATATATTAAAAAATCGAAAAGATTTTTATGAATACCCAGCGTAACCATTCTGTATCTATTACAACCCCTTTCCTGTCTTTCTTTGCACCCCCCCCCCACTCTTTTCTTATTTCCCTGCACTTTTTTTGTATTGTACATTTGTTGGTTGTACATCACGTGTATACATATATGTCATTTTGTTTGTGTTGGAGAGGACAATTCTAAGTTGGTAAAACTTGTGTCCAATCCTATTGATTATGTTTCAATAAAATATGTTTAAATACAAAATACTTGAACACACGTGGTCCCTGCCGATCCGCATTTTTGGCCAAGGAAAATATCGAAGTTAGAAATGACACTGCCTGATTAGACAATATAGTCATGCAAATAAAACGTTTCAGAAATCGCACTAACTGTTGTCGGTACATGTAGTAAATATGTTCATGAATGTGGCTTCATTACATCAAATTTATTACATAAACATACATTCTTGTTACATATCTTACATCTCTTAGAGAAAATGAAGGGGGTGGGGGGTGGTACATGTATGTATAATACATTTTTCAATATATTTTAAACAAACGTCGGACAGAGGTCGGATTTTCCTTGTTCAGATATATATAATTACGTACAATGAATTGACTTCAACTATTTTAGATATAAAAACAATTTATCTTAAATTTACACACACTGAACAATTTGTTTCTGTAGACATATTATTTCAAATCAGGGTCCTTTTAGGCGTCACAAATTACCAGCACGGTTGATACAAATACCAACAAGCACGGGCATAATTATGTGTTTATAAAATAATATACAGTACATGTTTTGTATACATTGAAGTTGAGTAAGTATAACACTATTAGTATATATATGAAAGTAATATTGATAATTGAAATAGTTCTACCGTGTACCCAAATGTAAAGTGGGGAGATTCAACAATCCTCGCATTGCAAAAGATATCACGAGGCCATGCAAAAGTACTAATTAATACATTACATTTGTACTGTATTTGATTTACATAAAGTATTTTTTTTAACAATTACACATATTTACACGTTCTAGATATTAAGGGATTTTGTAATGTGACTGAATGATTAAAATATGGTTGCGTGCATGTGTTATTTCTTTTCCCTGACCAAAATCTGATCAGCACGGACTAAGTGTCTTTGAGTTCTAGGCTGTACGATGAAGTGACAACATGTTAACTGTTGAGTATTTATGGATTTTATTACTTTTTATTTTGTATATTTATATATATTTGATTAATCTTATGATAAATCGTTCATTGGTGATAAGAATTGTTATTATTCTTATTTATTCACCTTATGCTTCCAGCCTCAAATCACTGTTCCATCTCCTCAACACTTCCTTAGTGAAGTAGAGATGGGCAGGCCTCTGCATGACCGTATAGATATACTTAGTATATCTATTTTTATCTTTTTAAAAAATAAATAAATCATAAATAAATAAACACACCACCACGTCACCCAGCCGAGGAGACTGAAGCAATCAATTTTTTGGTGGCCGGCCATACATGTAGTATAATGTCAACTCAATAAACAGGGAAAATAAAGACGAGAGTTGATACAATTTAAATAGTAACGAAAAATGGGGGTGGGTTGTTTTTCAATAAATATTTAAAAACAGTTATAGACAAAAATGAAAAGGGGGGGGGGTTGTTAAAAACCTTTCTATTTTTTTCAATGTATACTGATATTCTGGTCACTC